GTATTTTATAACCACTGTGTTTACCTTTATAGCGTTTAATACTTCATTGAGAACTTTCAATCTTTGATCTTTCATAGACATCTGTTTAACCTGCAAAACAATGAACACTTCTCTGGTACTAATTCGGCTTACGTGTGTAAATTTCGTAAAAAATGACCCAGACGCTCACAAACACACCTCTGACTTTCCTTTCAGCAAAGCGAAGAGAACGCTTCCATTATTTATGCTAGCTATAGAGTTTGTATAGTTTAATCGTGATAGTAGTCTGCTAGTTGCGCACAAATGTATTTTTGAAATGTCTCTATGTCTCTAATTTTAAAAGAAAGCTATGCTTAATTCAGTCAGTCGGTGACGAAACACGTCCCCCCATAGAAACATATCACCGTGCTACGTACTTTTTGACCTAATAGACCATAAATGAGAACCCTGGCTGAAATACCTCATTAATGATTTTTTCAGATAAAACTATATATACAAAAAGACAACATCACCACAGACTACAAAATATGAATTTACTTAAATCCACATATGTTTCCAGTAGGGTTACGGACAAATATTGGCATGAAATCAAAAGCAACATAAGGTTAAAAATCTTAAAACTTACTTGGTGTGCCCTTATCTGTGTACCGGAGTAAGCATTGACCGGCATGAGAAGTATGATGACAGCAAGACCTGCCAATGTGGCCATACCTAGATATTGCCATAGCAGTACCAGTGCCACGACGATTGCTAAGCCCGAAGACCAAAGAAAATGTAGGTAGATGGGTGACACCTGCATCTTCTGTGCGTCCACTGACATTAAGTTCACGATCTCCCCGACTGTTGATTTCTTCCTTGCAGCGTTGCTTAACTTCAGTGACTAAACGGAAAATAAAAAACTGTCTTCTACTGATCAGTATTCAAAAACTAGGGAAAACTAATAACAAGAATTCTTAAGTTATTTCACAAATATGATAATATATCTGAAATGGCTGTAACGTAGCAGGCGTGTTTAATCCAAATGACATATGGGTTAAATGCTACATGGCGATTTATATGACATTCATGTTGTGATATACAACCTATAATGTACTTTGTATAAGCACCCAAGTGCACATAACTAAACATACGTCGTAGAAAGGGGAACAAAATGGAGAGGCTACTATAAATACCTGCAGAAATCTTTGAATTGATCTCAGAAGCTTGCTTACCAGATTAAACCAAAAAAAAAAAAAAAAAAAAAAAAAATATATATATATATATATATATATATATATGAGAAAACACACCTTCCTATACACAGTTGCTATGATGGCCGAACGCGCCCTTAGCCCAACTCTCAAGCAAATTCGGTTGTAGTTTTGATTGAGCAGAGAACGGATCATGCTGACTAAGAACATCGCCACGGCTAACAAGTAACCCCGCCACGTGAGCGGGTCGCCAGTTTCTACGAAGGTAATCAGCAGACTGAAAGGTGGAATGTTATAATTCATTTATTAGTCTCTTATTTCTTAAAAACCAATATCATTGGTCTCATCAAATTTATTTTAAAATGTACCGTATGTTTCTAATCAATATACATTTTCAATTTGCCATTATGCAGGCCAGGTCTACCAAAAAACAAAATAACAATACCCTTTAGATTAATTTAGGTCATTTATCCACATCTTGGCCTGACAATAAGTCCATCTAAGTCCTTAATAGAGGCTAACCAAGACCTGTTTTCAAATTGTTTTGTGACAGTACCTTAGCAGCATTGGATTGACGAACGTGACAGCATCAAACAACAGTCGGAGCAGTGCGGCCATAGCGTAGTAAGGTCCAAACGTTCGTAGTAGAGCCATCAGTAAACTAGGCTCTCCGCGTGTGGACGCAATCGTTTTCTCCATCTTCAGACTATCAGTTGGGGTTGTCTTGGCAGAAGGAATCCCGTTCCCCATCTGGTGGTAGCTCTGGTATCCATTGGGAGTGCTGCCGTAGTCGTGACTTGCAGTGAAATGGACGGCTGAGTTACTGCTTATAAGAATATGACATAAAAGTCATTGTAATGAGGACTGTTCAAAATACACATACGAGACAAAAAAATACTCTAAAAAAATTTCAGAAAAGCTGATGGAACATTAGTTAAGACTAATTCGCGAGAAAGCTAGATACCGACCTCGTTTTCACTTTCTCTTTTCTCCATTCTCTCAGAAATTTTGGAAGAATGACGTTACATGAGTCTTCAGGAAGCAGTCCGTACATATCAGCAAACACCAGAGTCTGCTTGTATCCCTTGATTACAAGCCTGAGGAAAGATCACGTGTTAATTTTAACTATGACAGATTTATGTCGGCCACACAGCACCTAAATATATCCATGCAAAATATATAATTCTGATAAATTATCTTTGCTTTACTTTGTTTTCAAATTAAATATTATAAGTGTACAGTTTCGAAGTCTGAATATGTCTTCGCAACAGCCTGATATCGAAAATCAAATTATGAATCACGTTAAGCTTATACTGACTTTGTTATCCACCAGTATGAGATTCGGTTTAAAAAGGACGCACTCCTCTCTGGTGTCATTTCCTGAAACGAAAGTCCAGATTACAATGATACGTATACACAATTACTGACTCCGTCATGTCAACGACTGCCCTTAATACTATTTGTTTGTCTTAAAACTCCGCGCACTGTTATCTTTAATTTTTTTTAACGAATTTTTATACCCTTTAGAAGCTTAAAGGTTAACAACTGAAAAAAAAAAAACTACTTAATAAAAGATGAATAGGTATCAGCTCATTTATCTCTAAAATAATAGTTTTTTATATAGGGCCCTACCATGTTGTCACTTGATTTTTTGGCTGGTCTAGTTTTTGCCAAAATTGGCTGTTTTTCGGACAACTCTCCCCAGTCAGGTGTGCTTTCTGGCAGCGCTTTGGGATCCGCCCACAGGTGCAAAATGAACTCAAGCACGACACAGGTGTAATGAGCGCAGAACGTCACCAAGGAAAATATGCTGTCTAGATCCTGGGATGAAACAAATGTTTCCGGTAATGCACGTTTTTCAAAGTAGACGTAGTAGTATCTAAATTCATAGAAGCTGTATGGAGTGAAGGCCCTATGAAGACCCTTTGAGTCATTTACGTAGAATCTGACATGCATATGATTATCTCATCTTTGAGTCAATTGTCATAATTCGTTTGAAATATTTCTTCAAAAAGATTTAAGAGTTATTTTTCGTCACGTATTACAAAAGCCTGGTGACAGAAGGATCTTAATACGTGGCTATAAACACACATAAATAAATATATACATCAAAATCGGTATGTGATTACTCACCTGAGTTTGCACCTGTATTATTTTAGATCTTAGTGACACACCCCCTAGTAGGAGAAGTATGGACCAGAAGATGAACAACATGGCTGAGGACACCTCTCCTTTCTTAAACTCGTACGTGATCAAAAACGATGACATTCCCTTCAATATTAATGCAAACTATTAAACAAGGAATTTAAGTTTTATGCATTAAAAAGATATTTAGGACTTTAAATATAAAAAAGAACAGACGAGCATATAATTTCATTTACTAACTTATTTGTATTTAATCTCACTTCCCCCCTTCCAGGATAATTTGGAATGGAAAGTTCATGCACCGTTGAATTGTACTGTGACCAAAGAGGGGAACAGACCCTACTCCAAGAAAAATGGTTGAAATATCTCCTTTTCACTTAACTCTTTTCACTTTTAATTACACCTCACCTATATTGACATCTCATATGTTCGTTGTCTTGCCCAACACATATAGCGAATATAATATGAAACGCTTATTACGTGAGCTAGGTCAAAAACAAAGACGTGCATGGACCTTATACACACAAGTAGGTATGCTAAAGAAAGTAACTCTGACCAAAGATGCAAAAGTCAGCCTTACAGGTACCAGAAATGCTATATGCAGAACACCAATGTAAAAATTGATGCAAATAGACTTACAAATGTGATGGCGTATATGGCAGGTGCGATGAAGGCGGATGGTGGTGGGTGATGTGTTGGTATGTCACTGATGGTCTTAAGCAAATTCAAAATGGAGATCAGGCATAGCAAAATGCTGAGGATCTGGAATATTAAAGTGCAGTACTTGAGGCCTATCTGAGTGTGTTTAACATAAAAAGTTACCAGTGCCCTTTTGGAAAGAACAAGCTTTTGCTGTCTTTTGAAAAAATGTTTATCATTATTAATTTTATTTAGGCAGAAATAAAATTTAAATATACAAATAATCAATGCATTATCATCAACAATATACATTTTCGCTTATATACTACTATTTGCCAGTTTTCATGTACCTCTGTATCTATCAATTAAGATATTCAAAGTAGGCTCATAGGAGAAAAAATGACTTTCGCTAACCATTTTAGCCAAGTTTAATTTCCCAGCGTCACGTATGCTGTGCACGGTGGGCTTGGATGATAAAACTGGGATAAAAAAGAGGGCAAACAACCAGAAAATTCCACAGGACACCCACACAAACACTGTGTCCTGGAAACATTGTGTGACGTCAGGATTACTGGTGTTCACTGTCAAACTCCAGCTCTGTAAGGAGACAATATATAACATCAAGTATGTCGTCATACATGTATGTGACATGATGGCGCCATGCAGAAGTACGTTATTTACAAACTGTGTACATGTATATTACAATTATCATATTATATGTCGATATATAGGGCCTACATGTATATCACTTTGTGAAGACACACAAACATTTGGTAGCTAGCAGTTAACTAGAATGTTTCATGTCTGGGCGATCGAACAAAAATTCTGATCCACATCGTGCATGCAGTAAGGCTTAGCAGGTTACATCACAAGAAAGTTATTGTTAATCAAATCATAGATATGAATTCCTCACCCAAAACGCTGTGTATCTCGATCCATTTCCACACAAACCTGACCAGTACGTATCCTCCATGTGAAAATGTCCAGTTACTTTTTCTAACGGATCTATCATACGGTCAGCACGTCTACTTAGTATAGTGATGTGACCGGTTTCATGGTCTTGCTATCGGCACTTCTCATTTCACTTAAAGCTCACAGCTTTATCAATGAGCCTTAAGTACATGTAGGTCCCCATGCTGTCTTATCAGCCTGTAGAATGATTGGGCGAAGAAAGGGATATTTATGTTCATTGCTGAATAGCGACCTAGATTACACTATGTTGTGCAACTGAGTAAACATAACACCGGAACTGATGCACTTTTTTTTCACTGCTGATACAGAACATGCATTTCACCTTCTTGTGCAATAAAGTCAATACAAAAAAAGATACTGATGCTGCACTGTAAGTTTATAAGACAGATTTTTTTCTCATGTTGGTTTATTTATCTTTTGCACTCAACTTAAATAATTCAGTTCACGGTTTGCTTTTTTATGCTGATATGTCAACACTCTTTCTTTCTCTCTCTCTCTCTCTCTCTCTCTCGTATTATTATACAGCACTTATACCTTAACATAACAGATGAATGGTTAAAATCAAAAGTGGTCAAACGGAAGAGTTGTGCAAAATCTTATTATATACAGGTACATGTAGCTTCTTTGCTCCGGTAACTATGTGTTTCACGAGGTGAGTTGATAGATTAATAACACTCCAGAGCAAGGGCAGGTGCGTGTTGGTGCATTCATGCAAATTGCTCAAAGTCTAATATTGAATGGTTCTATTACCCTTCGAACATTGAGAGCAACATTCTCTTCTTTATTCTCTCGGACATTCGTGATCTCTGTGCTATCCTAATATTCACCTACAGTATGGATCTAGGATGCTGCGAAGTGGGTGAAGGAAGGGAAATATACACAGGTATTTGTCCTGCTTAGCTCGATAGATATGAAATAGTACGCTGGGACATTTTCAGTGTAAGGATAACATGAAAAGGATGAAAAGCTATTTGATTTTTTTAAAATTATTTTGTTTGTAAGCCTATGGGGAGGGGGGGTGGGGAAGGGAGAGAATGTCATTGAACACTGGGATGTTTTGGTTGAATTATCACTCTTAGGAAAACTTCTATATCAGTTATGTCAATAAGTTTAAGTACATTAAAGTGCACACAGCGGTCTTATCAGGTCAATTACCTAACACTAGATAGAAGGTTTCCACGAGAAGGGGTTCTACACGAAATCGATAGCAAACAAGATTTTTATTTTACTTCCGTAAACCATACACCTATATTATTTAGTAGAATGTTTAAATTCTACAAAACCTAATACTATGACAGGTACAATATAGTAACTACAAATTGTAAATAATTGAGTAAACATGTGTCTATACATGCACCGAATTTCCCTTTCCTGAAGAAATGGACATTTTTCTGCTAAGAAAGATTCATTGGCCAATGCATTCGATGTTCAAATCATTTTCATGAAATTATTTAGTTCTAAATTTCTGTAAACATTTGTATCGCCATAGTCGGCCTTACATTCTAGAAGGGGAATCGACATCAGGCCTTTTATGAGAGTGGCTTTACCACTGTGCTGGTTTTAATTGGGAAATATAAATAGATTTGCAGAATATTTTAATATTCATAGATTCGGGTCATTTTCAAATACCTTCAATGTATTTTACAAAATTGATCGTATACCTATCATTTCGTATTTATCATTTCAAACGATTGGTGTAATTTATACCTTGGTATTCATAACAAAACAGATAATATTTCAGATACATTTTTTGCTTTATATCCAGCTAAATCCGTTAGACCCTCTTTAAAACTTGCTCTAAACCAAAGCTGGAACTTTTTTATTTGCAGTTGTCCCATATTTGTCTTTACTGTTATTATAATGTAGTGCAAGCTAGGTTACATTTCTTTTTCATATTGAATATCAAAGGACAGCAGTTATCAAGAGATGACGTACATAAATCATATTGCCAATCATTTGATTTTTCACCTAAATTAAAATTTCATGTTCGCAGGTCCGATGGAAATCCATGTGACATTGCAGTACTGCATGCAATTGTGTTAGTTTCTGGTAAGGTTAAGATGTTTCTAATACTTACCTTTCACAGCAAAACTGTAACATCATTTTCTTATCCTTTTATTAACTCTATTCACAACCCGATCCTGGTTTAAGATAATATAACTTATTTTTCTCAGTGGAACATATAACATTAAGTTATTGGAGAATTCAAATGTCACATTATGCATGCTGTTTTCAAAAGTCATTACTAAAATGCAGAATATTATAATTTTAAACAATTAGAAACGGGATTAACAAAATTACATGGGACGCATTATTGAATAACCATTTGTCACTGGCATCTTTTGGAAAATATTACCCGTCTCTAAATGCACTACTGGTGTAAGATACACACTATTAGGTAAGACAAGTCATTTTTCCAAAGATACACCCTTTTCACTAATATTCGTTCACTTTATACACTTATATCTGCTAGGGAAAACAACTCAAGAATTATTCAACTATGAGATGTACAGTATAAGTATATTAATGTCCGGGTTAGACCAATCCCGCGTCTTTAGCCATTCCATAGAACGTGCTCCGCTTGTCCTGAAGTAACACACTGGGTGGTTGGAATTCCTTAATGGTACCCTTGTCTAGTACTAAGACCCTGCAATATTTGTAGTATATGGTTGGATATTTTTTAACATATGGATAATCGTTTAAAAAAGGATTGTACATGGTATGTACAGCACTTACTTGTAGAATGAAAAAAAACAAAAAAACAAACTGCTCTGTGAAGATAACTTTTTTGGCATTTAAAAGGTGGACACACGCGTCCAAGTTTACGCTTCATGAAGCAATCACTTACCTGTCATAGTCCATGATGGTATTCAGTCTGTGTGCTATAGTTACAACCGTGCACTCTTTGAACTCTGACCTAATCGTGGATTGGATAAGGTCATCCGTCTCCATGTCAACAGCTGCAGTTGCTTCATCTAAAACAAGGATTTTTGTCTTCCGAAGAAGAGCTCTTGCTAGACACACTAACTGCCGTTGCCCAACACTGAAAATTGGGAGAAAAGACCTCTAATCGTTTCATCAATTTAAATATAGTTATACGTTCCAATTAAATTTCTTATTACAGACAAATAAAAGATGAAATCACGGTGATAAATGAACTGATGTAGATTTTTGCTTATACCTTAAATTTTCTCCGGCCTCCGATATTTCATGTTGCAGTCTTGCCGGCAAAGTAGCCACAAATCCTTTCAAATGCGCATGCTCAAGTGCGTTCCATACATCCTGATCAGAGTACAAACCAAATGGATCTAAATTTGACCTCAACGTCCCAGAGAATAGTTCCGGTTCCTACCAAGAAGAAGGAGACACGCATTCAAAACTCAGATAAATAGTTTTTTGGTGTTGATGTTGGGAGATACAGCAAACAATGTTAAATATTCTATTAATTGCCAACCCAAGACCTGCCTGTGCCTGTTCAAGTTGTCAGATGGTCTCGAATTTTCAATAGGCATTGTGGCAATCTTATGCAAATATTTAATTCGCGAGAGTGAGGTAACATGCTTCAACGCCTAACTGAATACCCTTTTAAAAGATATTAAAGGAGAGGAGAGCCGTCAGAACATAGACGATACCTGTGGTATGATTGTGATTTTTGACCGCAACTGATGCAATCCAATGTCAGCTATCTTAATGCCATCTATAGTGATGCAACCTGCTGCTGATTCTATGATTCTAAACAGAGCCAAAGTAAGTGAAGATTTCCCTGCGCCTGTGCGTCCAACGATGCCAACCTGGCAACAAACAAAGGCCATTCTTTCTTACTACCCTTAGTAACAGGAAAATGATTTAGTATACGTAAATAATTTTCTATATACCAACAATGAATCAAAAGTCCTTTGTTTAATTTTTTACTTCATTTCATTGTCATATCTTACGTCGACAAAATATCAGTTAACGTGCAAATATTCAGAAATATTCCAGCTTTCTCTAAAAAGTGCAATATCGCTACTTACAGCAGACGATTAATGTATATATTTTACAAATCTACATGTGTCGTCTTCTTGATTATTTTCGTGGGATCCTTTTATTTAAGAGTAAGCGGTGATTACGATAAGGAGTCAATCGGTGACAATTCTTTTACTCATACCTTCTCTCCAGGCTCAACTTGGAATGTGACATTCTTAAGCACAAGGTCCAGTCCAGGTCGGTAACGGACACTGTACTGGTCAAACTGGACCTCTCCTTTCTGTGGCCACTCTGGGGGTGGACAGCGGTGATCAATGTCCCAAGGGGCCTGGATGTGGACAGTGCATTCAATTATAGGTACATGATTCGTGATTATGAGTTGAAAGATAATTGTGTACATCTGAAGGTGCAAGGTGCAAATAACATTTAAGATTTGTACGTAGTACCGTATATAGTTCGATTTCCAACATAAATTGATTAAGTGAAATATTAACTTTCAGGTGTTTATTTAATATAAACGAAACGATTTACCACAATGAAAAATGAATTACCTCAACTTCGACTGCTGAATACTCCTGGATCCTTTCTATAGCGACTACTTGAATTTCAAAGTCACAACTTGCTCTGACAAGGTAATTCAGCATTTGAGTTACCTACAATATAGGTCTAATATGTACAAGCAGTATCACCCTCCATGCAAAACAAATGAATTTATACGATGATGTCTTTTTTCAAAGTTTTGGGGTGGAATTAAGTTTTAAAATTCCCTAATGACTAGTTGCAAACAATAACTTCGGACCAGTTTATTATTTATAATAGACGGGCAATCATCGATGGTTTAGTGTGAGAATGGCATTGCACAGGTACTGCATTGTTTACAATGACATTAGGATATTTGAATTATTTGCTGACCAGGGAATGCGTATATCACGCCGACAGATGTTAACTAACTTTGCACTCACATTAAGCGACAGAGAGATGGACATCCCGGCGTCTCCTCCAGTGATACTTCCAGATCCAGTTGCCAGGACAGCAAATATGGCGGCAAACAGGATGACAAAACACCCGTATGTTTCCATTAAAACGCCGCACCACCTGAGGGTAGAAGGCATATTCAGTGACATGTGCGGAAGCGAGGAATGTCTTTTTTTTTTTTTTTTACAAAATATATCTTGTTTGAAACAGGTTTATATCAACTAGTTAGATGATAAAACAAAATGTGAGAAGATAATAAGATATTCTTATAGTTCTTACCCACCTAAAATATTTGGCTAA